ATGGGGATCTAGGCTGTTAAAAAAAAAAAAAATAGAAAAGAAAAAAAAAGAAAGAAAAAAGACTCAAACAAGCTTTCTCAAAACATTAGAGAGAACTATATGAGGTAGGAAGTTTCCTCTGGTGCTGGGAGTGATTCTTCCAATGTTCCTGAAAACATTGAGATGGAAGAGCTTGGTACTTGGATAAAATTGTTTTATATTTTCTCAGAATAAATAATGCAGTTTTGATCTTAAAGATTTGGTAAATTTTACGGGAAAGGAAAAATGGATGAATTTAATGCTTCTAGAAAATAGTCATGTAGTGGGCCAGGAATGGGAAAGGGTGTTTATTTAGTGTATCATTCATATGCAGAAAATAATAGCTAGCTCTAAGTACTTTAGGGGAGGAGTCTTAGGTGGAGGAATGTTCTGCAGATAATGCAGAGAAAGCTGGGCTGGCAGCTGTCATTTTGTAAGGAAAGGCAAGAAATGTTTTCCATGTCTGTCTTCTGTTATCCTGATCACCAGCCCGACATCTCTTTTTTTTGTCCCATTTCTAACTGTAGATCAGTTCTTTGAAGGTTCACCTGGATGGAAGAGAGTGTATTGACTGGCATCAGGACAAGAATGGGTCTGAGAAACTAAAATGAAAGTTGAGCTTAATTGATGCTAAACTGATGAGTGACTGCCTTGTTGCTTGGCTGAGCCTGCCTTTTTGGAAACACTCCTCTACAGCTAGAGCACAAAATGCTGGCAGGAGCCCGACATGGTTTAAGCTGTTGCTACAAGCTGTTACCTAGATTAGCTGGCAAAAGAATGTTTGAACCTGTAAATGACTTTGGCAGAGCCCAGTCTCTAACCATAGTTGCTTGGCTGTGAAATTTTGCCAACTATTGTACTAATAATTTGAGGGATGGGGGATCACAAAGTTTCCAGGCACCAGATGTCTGCCTGCGTTTGCTGGGGGATTTTTGGGTTGGCTTTATGTCTATCTACAATATTTTTATTTCCTTGAATTGCGTACACTACATTTTCAGGAAGAGATACTGAGACATTACTCATACCTATTCTTCTGCTTTTTAGCTTTCCTTATTTAAACTCCTTTTAGAACTAGGGCTTATTTGTTTTGTTGTTTTTGAAAAGTTATCTTTTAGTTGGCAGTGGATCACACCTAAGCTCCAATGATCACCATACAATCCATTTTACCTACAGAGGAAAATCAAAATGCCGTAACAGGTGATTCACAATTTCTTAGCCTAACTTACTTTTGGGTTGTGCTTAGTAACAGAAACATCACCTAAAATATAGGAAGCTGGTGTTAAAAGTTTCAGATAACCGCTCATAAAATGTAACGTTTGGAAAGCATCAGCTGCTTTCCAGAAATAATGATGTGACAAGAACAGCTCCTCCTCTCCTGTATAGCTTAGTGTAAGCTAATAGTTTTGTTTCGGATGTGAAGCCAAACTTTGAAATTCTATTTTTGCCTTTTGCTTATAAGGATGAATGTCTAGGTAGGTAGGCAGTTTAGAGCAGGATAAGAAAAAGACAGACCACAGCGATCCACTTCATGTATCACCACTTCATGTAATGTCACCTTCTGCAACAGCAGTATCCTTATTTTCCCATTGCTCTTTATTTATTGCTGCCATTTGGCACTCTCCCTAGAGCAAACCTCAGCTGCCCTTTACTGTAGCATATTTTGAACCCTTGTGAACATATATATTAAGGAAATTTACTTCAGATAAAGTAAATATATGAAACCACAGCACAGGAAGTCCAACCAAATCTAGTCTCATTAAATTAATCATGACATTAGGAGGTCTTATCCTTTTGACTTTTATTCATGGATTAGAAGGAGAAGAACAAACATCTCAGTGGTTTCTCAAGTTCAAATGAAGTGGTTCAAATGGAATGTTTTTAAATCTCATAGCTGAAGAGAAAACAGCAGCAAATAAGGCAGAAGTATGATGAACAACAAATACTGACTTTTGGAGACAAATATCTATTTTTTCCATTGTAAAAATTGTGGGGTTTTTGGTGATGTTATCTTTTTGCATCATCTGTTTCCCTCTAGTTCTGTGGGACATTAAGTTGCTCCACTTGAGCAGATTTAATGATTTTATTTTTTTATTAAATCAGATTTAATGATTTTATTGTTTTGTGCTATTTTAATTTATTGTAATAACTTGCAGCAGATTTAGTGGTTATCAGAAATTCCTGAAGTACAATTTCAGTTTTCAGAAGACAAATGTATTTTAATTCTGAAAACTTTGGGTTTTAATTTTTCAATTTAGACCCATTCTTTGTTGTTAACACTGTGTTTTGCTTAGAGTTGTTTAGTTTTAAGGCTGTAATATATGAACACAACAGAAAATGGGTGGCAGAATTGACGATAGGAAAATGCAAAAGTAGTAGTTAATTTTAGGACTGGAAAATTTAAAAAAAAAGCTTCACAGTAGTTTCCTATTTTAAAACCAGCTGCCTTGCAGTCAAAGTGCTTTCGTTTTTTTTAGTGAAGTTTGTAAAGCTCCTTTAATATAGAGATTAATGATTTCTTTCATTCCATTTATTGGTTTGTAAACCTGAAGGGCTGTGAATTTTATGAAAGAAAATCCTTTAATTTTGCATATGCCTGTTGATATGTGCGGTTGCCATGGTACAGATTTGGAGTGAAACATTTATTTCTCTGACTTGAACCAGTATGATGATTTTCTGCATCATGTTTCGGATGCAACTAATCAAAAGTCTGAAAACTTACAAATGCTTATGGAATTTAACTGACTGGTTGCTGTAAAGATCTGAAGTCTAAAGTTCTCAAGTAAAGCTCTAGACTTGACTTACGTGATCTTAACCTTTCTGAGAGCCTCACTTCAGGCGTACAAACTGATTTGAGTGATGAAGTTTTGTTGAGAGTTCATGACTCCCTCGGAGTTGCAAGCCATTGTCTGGGAGCAGCTGCTTCAATTTCTAGCTATTCATTTTAATGCCTTCTTTCCAATTGTTTTGTACAATGCTGTATTGTGAACGGAGTTTTATATAACTTTCATCAAATAGCTGAGTAGATCAGGAATTGCTAAAAACTTTGCATCAGTTCCTCAGGCCATTTCTGCTTCCTTTCCTATTACTCCGTGAGCATAGTCATTGATGGTGGACTTCAAGATTTAGGTCAGCTGAAAGGTCCTTTGAAGATAAGATGGATTTTGAACTCCATTAAGGACTTTATGGGAAGTTTATGAAGATACCTCAGATGGGGTTCATGACAGATGCTGCAGAATTGATTGTCAGATAAAGGTTTTTAAGCCCGAAGCCTCCATACTTAGTTGCGATACCGAGTATAAAAACCTGAGGGCTATTGTATGTGAATTAAGGTTCATGGTTGGCTTTGCTAATAAATCTTTTGCCTTTGTGAAGCTTGAATTCGAGGAGAAATCTAAGAGTCTCCAAGAGTCAGAAATCCAATCTGTCTGAGCTCCAGATTGTCCCTAGCTGAGAGCGAGTGCTGGTTTTGTTGGTTTTCCACTGAGGAAATGCCACTTTTACTACTGAACCCTTTGATATACTTGCCTACCTGGTGATACCATGCGTCTTGCTTTAGAATATCATACCAGATATATATACTGGCTCCACTTGTAAATTTATTTTACTCAAATAGAGACATTTTGAAGGCAGTGTTGTGGCTTTATGGCAGGACAGGTGGGACTGTGTAGTTTGAACATTAACGTTACTTGAAAACCAGCTGGAAGTTTCATCAGACTGCATTCTACTATTAGTAATAATGAAGAAAAGTTAAGTGATGAACAGTTGAGGCATGAATTAGAAATACCATAATTTTTTAATGAAACCAAGTTTTTCTTAGGCAGGTCTGATTATCTTTCAATGAAGAAAATGTTATCTAAACCCTCTTCTTGAGTTCCACTATTGAAACTGTTCACAGAATTTTCTGCTTTCTGACTTTGAAAGTCTTTGCATGTAAATCATTGTTCTCTAACAGGCCCATGTAGGCTTATATACTGAATCAACACATTTAATATCACATTTAATGTTTTCTGTATGTTCAGGAAAGACTTTGAAAATGTGAAAGTGTAAAAGTGTAGATCCTGTGATCCTCTTCACCTTTTTTTTTTTTTTTTTTTTTTTTTTTTTTTTTGGCAACTATTTTGACTTATGCATATTGTGATCTCTGGTAGGTGTGAGAAGATGTGTAAAACACAAAGTTTTTCACCAGACTGTGTTCTGCCCTAAACACCACTCTGGGCAGAAAGAAATTCAAGTAATTAAGGGAGTCAAGGATTTTAAATTTTTGCCTGATACCATATACCTATATTAGGTTGGGTTTTTCATATGGGATATTTTGAATATTTAAAGTTAACAGAGAAGAAAACTTTATTTGCTAGAAATTTTTGGTTATCTCTTCATTGAGAAACTTGTTTCTGCTTTTTGAATGCATCCTCATACCATTGCTACCAAAGGTATGGAAAAAAAATTAATTAATTTATGCTCCCTCTGCTGGCCTTACAGCTGTGCAGAATAGATCTATCCCATACCTTCAAAGTATCCACACTTGAGACTGGTTTGTGGAAACTGGGGCGCTAGAGAAAACACTTTATCTGCAAGATCCAGATCTGAACAGTGAATAATGGCCTTTCTGAAATAACCTCTCAATAACAGTGGGAGCTTTTAGAAAGGAAACAACAATGATATTTTGTGATAACTTTGAGTACATTCAGTTGCAGCAGATATGCAGTCTGTAAGTGTGATTTAGGAGAACTGTACATTTGCCACCAGTAGTAAACACTATGTACAGAAATGGTTTATTTTTTTTTTTGCCTGGGCTTCCTGAAAATCTTTGTACAGTGCAGAAAAGCAGAACTGAAATGATCAAGTTTTTCAAAAATAATTGAAATAATCCAAGTTTGTTTGAAACTAGGGTGCAAAGCCTGTTATACCTGGGAACGTTGTCTTGATAGCAATCACTTAAGAACTATTACGTATTCTTTTGTTGTTGTTTTTTTTTTTTTAAGCTGGACCTGTGATCTGCAGAATGCTAACATACCCTCCAACTCGAAGAGCCTTAATTGTGGGTTGTGGTCTGCAGATGTTTCAACAACTGTCAGGGATTAACACCGTCATGTATGTATTTACTGCTTGCTTCTCTTTATAAAATATAAGAAAAAGACAATTAGACCAGTAGCAGTTGTAGACAGGCTTCTGGACAAAATCTGAATGTGAAAAATTGAGTGGGAGCACTGAAATGCTGGTTTGAAATCCAGATATTGACATATTTGGCATCTCAGAAAATTGGTACAAGAGAATGTTAGTATAAGGGCAAACATTTATGTAGAGATGTGAATGCAAACTGTACTCTGGGAGATGTGTTGTTATATGTTAGGGTTTATGGTCAAGCCTCTTTATATCTAGATAAGAAAGTACAATTGCAGTTTGAATTTATGTGCAAATAGATCCAAACACTGCGAGGTTTAGACTGTTGACCATGTAAATGAGATGGAAACTTACTTGAAGTGCTAAAGGAGATAAGATGTGGAGGGAAGAAGCATTTCCTGTTATTACACAGTTCTGTTACATGTATGAAGGCTCAGTAAATGCAGAAATGAAGAATATATTGGGTGTTCTGAGAAGCTGTCAGCTCACAAGAGGAGTAGCTCTTGGCAAGTGTGCAGTGCACAAGACCTAGTTTAAGATTAAATTACTGTTGAGCTACCCTACAAGAGTAGCTGTAACAAATATGATTTCCATATTGTTTTAAGAGCAAGTGTAAAATATATTGCAGTAACATCTTATGAAGAGAACTACACCTAAGGGAGCAAGCTTGTTAGGAAATATTTAAAAGGAACAGCCAAAAGGATAAAGCTTTTAGTGGTATCAAGAGCTACCATACTAAATGTTAAATACCTGCCATCTATCACAAGGAGGGGAAAACCAACCAAACTCAGTATTGTTAAACTGCAAAGGAGGGAAATCTGTAACAGGTAAAGAGAGACTTTATAAAGTAGAAATTGTAACCAGATGTGGGAACCAGGGGAATGTGTAACTGCTATGTTATGCGTGAAAACCAGAAGACAGGCCCAGAGGAGCTTGGAGAAATTCTTCAGGCACATCAGAAGCAAAAGACCTAATAATTTCCATGCCCAGTAATGAAGTTGTGAGAATACTGGCATAAGATAAATCTTTAGCAGCAAATCTTACAAAGATTCTTTTTGTGTCTGTGCTAATTATGGAGGGTGTATGGAGGTTCCTGCACCGCAGCTTACTTGAGATGCCTCAGATGATCTGTTTCAAATTCAATTGTTAGGGGAAGAACTTTCAGAACAAGCTGATCAAAATGAATAATGACAAATTGCTTGGACTAATCAGGGTACACCCAACAGGTCGGGAGTCATTCAAATACATAATCACTGAATTTGGAAATGTAGCATAATCTGCATGAAGCTAAAGCCCAGCAAGTGGTGGTGTTTTTCTGTTCTTGTCAAAATGAATTTAAACTGTCATAGAATCAAATGAGAAGATGTGTGTGTTCATCAAATGAACATGGAGAATATAAAATTATAAAGAAGAGCCAACATGATTGTTGTAGATAGCTTATAGCTTGCAGTTTGGTTGGATGTGAATTCAGTCATGTTAGAACTATATATCCCATATACTCCATCCTACTCCATGACAGCTGCTGCCAAAGTTTCTTGAAGAAACCAGATGGTCACAAAAGTAGGAGAAAAGCTCTCTCAGGTCAATAACTTTTTAAGGTAGGAAAAAAGAGGGTAAGAATAAAAGATCAGTTATCACAAGCCAAGAATAGACCCCTACGGGCATCTATGTGGAGATCTTTGCTGCAATAACAGTCTGTGAAAAGGGGCTAAGTAGCAAATAACAGCTTGTGCTCATACACCATTCTCTATATTAAGACCCCCAAATTTGTGAACCCGAACAGTCATGGAATGACGATACAAGATAACAAATTAACAAAATGTCAAGTGCATTAACTATACAATGTTATACAATAATGCTTGCAGGGGGGAACTGGCTGATGCGCATGGCAGTCTAAATTGTTACTACTGAAAATAGAGGCCTTGAAGTTGCGTTATAGTTCTATACAAACACCATGATGGCATCCATGACCCATCTGGAATAGTACAAACAATTGCAGATATCCTTTCTTTTAGTAAGGATAAACCACATTACATATGGGGAAAGAGATGCTTGTATTTGAACAGGATGGTTAGGACTCTGCAGCTTGGAAAAGAAATGAGTTAGAAATGCAAAGGTGTATAAAGCTACTAATGTTAGGGACAAGATGGAGAGAACGTGATTATTCATCATGTCTTATAGCCCAGTTTTGATGACTCCGAGCTCTTACCCAGCAGTAGGTTTAAAATAAACATTTTTTCATGCAACACGTAATTACATAGTGGAACTCATTGCCACAGGATGTTACATACGCCAAATTTAGAAGTAAGGTTATAAGTTAATTAGGGAAACTTATATAATAAACATTATTAAAATGTTATTAAACATGATGTGGATGCAACTTTTGGCCAAGGATAATCATTCTCACATTTTGGTTCTTACTACTTTAGGGTGCCTTACTAGGCTAGAACAAAAAAATGACAGTTCGTGAAGTTTATGACACTGGTAGGTTGACTTTTTTTATTTTAAACTTCATAGGTTTTAAAATCTCAAACTCCTTTCTATGTAGGAGGTTTTACAAATAGTTTGGACTTGACCTAATTTGCTTGTTGAATGTGTAGGAGGACAGAATAACAACTATAAAACATAATTGAATCTTAGCTTTAAAATAACAAAATGCCTATAATAAACACATGAAGGCACTGTTGCTAAAGGACTGGCTTGTAAACCATTTGCAATATCCAGTATTTTTTTAATAACCCAGTATAACTAAATATTTAGTTATCAAGTATGCAAGACAAACATCCTCCTATGAAAGGACATTTTTCAAATATAAGTAAGCAGCTGTCTGTTGATGGTTTGCTTACATAAAAATTGATGATTATTTTTTAATGCAGTAATTAAATGGTACCTTAAGGAACTGTCAGATTGTATTAACTCTAAGCACTGTTTTCCTCTCCATGTTTGGTTGTGTCATTCTGGGACTGCTGTTCTGTCACAGCAGGAAAACAGGCATTGGTTATGGTTGGAGGCTGTAGGATTGAGTGGACTTCCCTGCAGTGGTTTTGCAAAATTGTTTACCAAAACCAGTCACAAAAAATGTTTTGATGGTTGTTTTTTACTGTAACTTTGGTGCTGCTGTAAATCCTCTTATCTTGGTATATCCCTTTCTAGACCGTAGGGGAAGGGGCTGATGAACCCCAACTTGCCATTCCCTGGCTTTCCCTGACAGAGAATTTAGCCTCGGGTTGCCCAGAGGCTAAATTTCCCCTTACATGTTTTCATGGGACTCGTCTACACTATGACCAGTGAACTTGGCAGCATCCAGGATGGGCCCTGACTTGTTCTAATCTTCTGGCTAGAGGATTTCCACTATTTCTGATATAAAAGAATTTCTTAAATCTTGTATTTTACTGGAAGAAAGTGAGGTCATATGAGTGAGTTTGTGTCTGAAAAACCTCATTTAAAAAACACCACATAATCAAATCACGAAGCAGGAAAATGAAATGCAAATATAAGGAAGAGAACACTTGTAGAATGAATTAATGCTTCCCCAATTTGTACATGCTTTACTCAGTAACTCTTCTACTTAAGAAAACAAAAGTTTGAATCAAAAAGTATGGGTGTTAGAGGTAGGAACTGATATAAAGGAATTTTTTAGGGATCTACAAATAATCACTGAGTGTACCCAGGAGTAGAAGAGATCCTGTAAAGCAGAAAAATACCTACAAAAAACACATGGAGACAACAAAAATCCAGAGCTTCTATGCTTAAGAGTTCAAAAATCTGTTATATATTTTCTGGTTAAAAACTGGGTATCAGTAGTGAAGCCAACAAGAGCAGCAAAGTCCATGTGTAGTTGTATTTCTCTTGAGGATGGGGAGAGGAAAACTAGAGGAACTTTCGTAAGAATTGAGGGCTGTGCTCTGGCCCTCCTGTTGAGCAATAAGCTGATCTAGTTTTTGCACAGAAATAGGTTCATATTGTATTTGAATCAGTCATGTATGTGCGTAACATCCAACTGTGAGGAATCAGAAACTCTCGTCACGAACAGGATGTTTTTGAACTGGTGAGAACAACACGAGGAGCAACCTCTGCATTGAGGAGGTGGATCTAAAAGAGAAGCAAAATGCAAAAATAGGCTAAGGAGAGTGTGACTCTCGCAGGAACAAATTCTAGCGTGATAAATTTAGTCAGTAAAAGAATAAAGCTCGGTGACCTATTGCTTTGATTCCTTTTTCACCTAAGAACAAGGGCGCCACTGCTGTTTGAAAGAGTGCCTCAAGTAGAAAGAATGTTTCCTTTTTGTCACGGCTTTTGCTAGCTTAACTGACCTGGAAAGGATAAAGCCATACAATTTTAGACAAGCGCCTCCCACACTGGTGCGAGCAGGTCTTCAAGAGTTTAATTTTTCTGTCTCTTGTCATTCTGGTAAATTCTCATCTTGAAAATGGAAGCTCACTGCTTCAAACCTGGAGACACAAATCTGGCTGACAGGAGACTGAAAAAGGCCCTGTGAAGAAAGTTGTATTCCAGGAGAGCAGCTACTGCAAATTAGCTTTTTAATAGTAACATATCCCAGAATTTTGTTAAAACATTGGTGTACAGATATTTTCAAGCCCATGGTGGCCCATAGTTAAAACTTGGGGTAGGAGGACCATTTTTAAGGTAAAACTGGAAGCTGATTTTCCCCATCAATTTCTTCTTTAAAAAGCAAAATAATATTAAGAAAAAGGAAGAAATTCCCTTTTTTTTGGGGGGTGGGAGGTGGGATGGGGGGGGGGAGGAGAAGAGGAGGCTTGAAGGGTTTGACTATTTCAGATTGTTTGGTGAAAAACCTCAATAGAGTACATGGATGTTTTAGATCTTTGCTCACATTCCTGCAGGACTAGGACTTCTGAAAACATTTCTGTTTCTGTGGAGCTTGATTGCAGTCAAAAAAAACCCAAACCATGGGGAAGAAGGCTTCTGGAAAAAATCCTAAGTTCTCT